ATCAAACTGACAATAATCATGTAAACAAAATATTAACTGAAAGTGTCCATGAATTAGTATCTGAATTAAACTGACATTGTTTGCCTCTCGTTTCCTACTTTCTTACTTCCTATCGAAATAAATGACCATCTGTCTAAATCAAGGTCGTTTCAGTTTTCCTTTCATTTCCAAAACACTACTTTTCCACCCCCACAAGCCTGCACCATCGGATAAAATCCTAATCCTCAAATCATGAATTGCATATCTGCACGCGCGGTCGCCATTTCCTCAAACGCTTGCCCCCGAGCGGCCGTCATTATCGCGCCGCCGCCAATGGCTGATTGAAACGGCGCAGCATTATATTTTCCGGGTGGATTTCTCCGTCCATTCGGAATCGTTGGTCGAGCACTCGTAGGACGGTCGATCGGCTGCGGCCGGTTCGATTTCGAGCGCTGCCGTCACTGTTCCATTCTGCTTCTTCCCCGCTGGATCCGACGGAGGCCCACTTTGTCTCTCTTTCCCAGGGTCGCTGCGCGCCGTTACATGCATATGCAAATTTATTCTACCGTGGTGCATTAGTGTACGTGTGTCGTGGTGGCCGGCGGACCGTAGCCGTGTACGCTCGTACACGCGGAGCTTTCTCGTCGGGCGTTGTCGGTGCAGCGGAGAGGGTCATAAATTAAATGATGTAAATGCTCTGTCCACCCTCTGTCGCAGCTAGCAGAGACGACACACAACTTCCCTCTCTCTTCCCACCGAGTACAACCCCCGAGTGACCCCGGCGATCCCACTAACCCCTGAATCCAGACCCCTTCTGACTGATTATAATTATCGGGGCGTACCCTGCGGCTCGTCTCGCATGGATGAAGAGGAAAGATAATGCGCCCCGAACGGAGTGCCATTGATTCGACCGCGCCTAACTGCCGTCGAATTGCCGTAAGTGTTCGCGTCAACGTGCTCGGGAACGATTCTTGCGAACCACCCACTGGATGTGCTACTTACTTGGTCGATAGATAGGGTATGCATAAGATGGAGTATTCTGTCAAATAGCATAGGTAGCGTGCACGGTTTAGACGATAAGACAGAGTATTCTGTCAATAATAATCGGTGATATAAGAAGTTTAGTCGATAAGACAGAGTATTCTGTCCAGGAGAATCGGTAATGTAGGCAGTTTAGTCGATAAGGTAGGTAACCCATTTAATGATATAAAACACGTGGACCTAAAATAATAATAAAGAAGTAAGTATAAACATAATTTGATTATTGTATAAAACATTTTCTGTAGCCGAATAAACCAAAATTTTATCAAGAATGCATTTAATTTTACACAAAAGGCTCGTGCACAATTCCCGTCTCTTTTCGCGAGGCAACGTTTGGTTTTTACAAATCTGAACGAGAGGAACGTCGAGGTTGAGTAATGTATTCGATAAAATTCGGTAGCATGCAAATCTGAAAAGCTTTCCGCGGATCTGTCGAATTCGACAGTGTTCCAATCCACTCTGCGACCGTGCCGCCCTTCTTTTCATTTCGATATCCGATTCATCGGGAATAACTTGCATCAACCTTTACTCAATGCTTCGCTACAAATTGCTCGTTTTCTCTGGCGCATTCACGGCGCTCTTCCCGTAATCCTGAAGGTACCTAATGCAACGCCATTTCACTCGCGTGTCTGTTAGCTTCCGCAAACCTCGCGCAAATCCGTGAAATTTAACGAACGGGGGAGTTTCTTCACTCGGAAACTCGATCGCATTTAATTTAACTGGAGCTCGAGTTGGAATAGGAATGTCAAGAAAATAAATATTTTAACTTTTATAGAAAAAAATGACGTTTTCGTGGAAAATATGGCGACAGCTAGAAAGCACGGTTCACGGAATTGGAATTTTTGATGTTTCAACTTTTGCACGCGAGTTTGCTGTACATATCGACTAACGTTGGGGCTTTGACATTTATAAAACCAATCGAAGTACCTTTCCAAGGACAGAAATATTTATAGGGAATTTCCCATGCGTTTTATCCTGCGTGCACGATTCGTCAAGTTCGAGATGGGAAAATAAATGAATAGTAGTAATGGATTGTTGTAAAATAATTACAATGGTGTAGTACTTGATTTGGAAATTGGAAAATTTGTTAAAATATTGGTGAGATAACTCTTGTTTAGTAGTATATAAAACGTACTATTCGTACCTCATAAGAAGCTGTATTTTTACTACAATGTAGGCAAAAAATAATACTCGGAATATTTTATTGCTATTAGAAATAACGATTGATAAAACATGTGTCTGTGATTAGGACACTTGCCTCGTAAACTTCGGATGAACAATAAATAAAGCTCTTTACAAATACATATATTAGTCAACCTTGATTTACATCTACTGTAACATAAATAATTCTATTAGAAGCTAGATAAATACTCGACTAATAATCTAAAGATAATAAAGATACAAATAATATTCATACTTGGTAACTCAATTTTACTACGTAAGCCTACCTAAAGCCACAAAAGAACAATTGCGGAAGATAATTTCGCGATGCAGTCTTGTACCTGAACGTCTTAAACATGCGTCGCGAGAGGATGTTCACGGTTGTCTCGGTCCTATCCGTCGGACACGTCTCCCATTTCCTCCCTGGACATTCCTCTGACCTCCGCGACCTCTCGGCACTCTAATCGCGCAATTAAATACAACGGAACGAATTTACCTTGTCTTTTACATCCTCTAAACTTGTTCCATCGCGAGGGCTTAATTAAACAACTTGATTTGTTCGTGCGTTCCAGGTGTGTATTTATCTTGCCAGAAGATGGACGACTTTCCAGGTAACACTTAACGATTTTTACGACGCACTCGCGTGGAATGCGTGGACGTTACATCTCTGTAACGCGAGGCATGTATCAACATCTTGATTGTGTATGCACAGGGTGTCCTACTTAACTTGAAAGCCAGAACAAATGATTGAT